ATGTTTGTTCGAGAGCAATTCAATTCTACTGTTGATAGCGCGAAATGTGGTTCGTTCGTGCTGAGGCTTTATTTGGTCGCGTGTCACGCTGTATTGTTGTGGTTTATTCACATGAATACAATTACACCTCCAGTCAGTCAGTCAGCCAGTCAGCCAGGCGAGTTGTATGTTTGTAAGTGCGAGTATAACTTAAATTTAGCCACATAATAACAATAATAATAGTGCAATCATTTGTGTTCGCCTACTCAGCGGGTCGGTGGCAATATCAACCCTGTGCTTGCAAATCTTGTGCGTCATTTATTGCTAATTACTCAAGTATTATTGAGAATCATTGGATTGTGAAAATAAATACGCTTCTCAACGAGAGCAACAAAGAAGGTCATTGCCGATGTTCAGGTAAGGATGCTCGGCACAAAAAGCAGCGCTAAAAGGAATCAACAAATCCTATTTAGTCGCACTCAGAGGAGTGTAAGTAATTTTTGCTTGCGGCTAAAAAGCTAAATTATTTACTTACGAATCGGTACACATTGGCACGGACCGCAAAGAGTCAGCTGGAGTACGAATGATTGTGTTGTGGAAAGATGGTGTGAAATGGAGAGGGATTAAGGGTTGGTCGGTCGATCAGGACCAACGATTAGTACTTACATACATACGTGTACAAATGTATTTCGGTAAGTACCTACGTGTATTTGTAAATTTATAATGCTTGCAGGTGTGATTTATGGGCGAGATTTATTTTAAAGGGTGTTTTTTTAGACGGGTAGTTTTTAATCAGGAAAACTTTTTTTTTAAATGCGAACTTTTCACAGCTGTTACATAATTTAGACTCAGTTTAACTTGCCATTTCATCATAAGCAGACTGACTCCGGAGCAACCTTTGCAAATCAGGCAAAATCATTACTAAAATGATGTTTCGGCTCGCTCTATGCGTAGCGGGTTGCGTTCAATATTCGGTCGACATAATCGTTCAGCAGAGTCGGTGATTCGAGCAACCATAGTTCGATTTCGCCTCAAGTGCACTATTGCTGATGTGTAGCAGAGTATCGAGGAAGATCCGAATGAGTCCATCTGCCATCACGAGCTACAGTTGGAGCAGTGCTCATCTACTTTATGGAAGATTTTGCGAAAGCACCTTGGTTTGCAAGCTTAGAAAATCCATTGAAGAATTGAAGCCGGACGACCAAAACAAGATGGCCACTGTGATTTGTTTTCACAGGGCAATTCTTTTCAGCGATGAGGCGCAGCTTTTGTTGAATTGATACGTTAATAAACGAAATAGTTGCATTTGGATTGCTGATAATCTTTAAGTCATTGTTGTGGCCTCAAAAGGTCACTGTTTGGTGTGTACTATGGGCAAATGAAATCATGGGTTCATATTTCCTCAGAAGCAAAGCCGGCCATAATGTTGCAGTCAATGGGTAGCGCCGTAATGAATGACTTTTTCATACCTGATTTGGAGGATGTTAATGTGGACTAACTCTGGTTCCAACAAGACCGCCCTACATGCCATAAAGCCAACGAACCAGTTAATTTGTTGAAGAAATGTTTCCATGAGCGCATTATCTCACGTCGTGGGCCTGTGGCGCGACCGTCAAAATAGTGCAATGTAACACCGCTGGACTATCTTTTGTGAGGTTATGTGAAGTCACTTGTCAATGCAGATAAGCCCAAGAGAAGTTAGACAAATTGACATTGAGCTGATCTCTTGCCCGAAATTAGTATAAAAGCCTAATGGTAATTGGGAATTTGTATAATCAAGCAAAATTATTAGCGTTTGATTTCTTCTTGAAAAGAACGTGAAAAAAACACCCTTTACTTTTACAACGGCTACACATACCGAAGAGCTATTATCATTAATGCTTGATTGGCAGCATAACACATACTCAAATACACATATATGTATGTCAATTTATAAAATTGTTAATTTTTCACACAGCAGTCTTTAAGTTACGGCCGCAAAAGCTCAATAGAAAATCAATAAAACTCAGCTGCTGGAAAACTCACTCAATAGTGGGAGTGAAAAGTTTGTATCGAAAAACTCATTGGCAACCATTTTTATCATTTCTTGTGTGGCCAATCACGTAGCTGCCAACAATATGATAAATCTAGCACCTAAAATAAACAGTGTACACCTGAGAAGATAGAAATTTTCTTTAAAGTGAATAAGACACATTTTAAAACCTGTATTGGTAAATACATACGACAAAAAAAAAAGAATAAAGAAGACATACATACGCAGTATATTGATTTGGCTGAAAACTGGTTATATCATATATACACATGTAGGTATATAAGCTCTTGAGGACAAAAAAGTTCCGAAGATTGCAACTTAGAAGTGACAATGGCGGGAAACGAAATATACCCATAGGGGAAGAAATTGAATAGTCGAGTGGTTAACAGTTCAAGTTACAGAAAATTATTTTAAAAAATTTAGTGGTAGCCCTCCATATGTATTTCTGAAATGAAATAAAATTTCCTCCTTAATATCCAATCTATCCCTTATTTGGTTGGGGGAAACATTAAGACGTATACCACACATTAGGGGAAGGAGCTCGTCCAAAAATCGACACAAACCTACAGAGTTAAGTAAAAAGACTTATTGCTCTGAAGATTCATGCCATCAAATATACAAACTACATTTTAATGTCGAAATTTTAATAAAAAGCATGTATTTTCACCGCCCCAAAAATTTCTAGTGTTTACTAAGTTAGAAAAAAAAGTAATTTATAAAAATTACGGAAAATTTTAAACGTCATTAGTATAAGTAAAATTTAGTCTAAATTGTTTTAAAAAAAACTTTTTATATGTAAGCTGCTATGCTAACCCATAGAGCCCTTAAATACACACGCATACCTATGTGCATATGAGGTGTGATTCCATAAAAACCGTATATTTCGAAATTTTTCTACAACTCTACCATCCCTTTCAAAGTAGTCTCCTTGCGCAGCTATACAACGATTCCAGCGCGTTTTCCATGGTTCGTAAAATTTCTGGAACGCCTCGACTGGCATGTACGAGAGTACCCCCGTCACAGCCGCCTGGATGTCTTCAATCGATTCAAAATGGGTTCCTTTAAGCACCGATTTTGTTGTAGGGAACAAAAGAAGTGACAGGGTAAAATATCGGGTGAATAAGGCGGCTGTTGCAACACGCGATTAGGGCGCGCACACGCTACGCATTTGTGTCAGTCCGCTCCACGCCTCGTCTTCCTCCTTAAACTCTTTATGCCATCGAAGCACCTGGGCACTAAGAGCACGTTCGTTTCCGAAGCTGTTTCGCCCAACTTGACGCAAAATTTTATCGCGACGCGTTGCTCTTGATTTCGTTTTTCCATTTTCGAGGCGAGTCCCACGAACACACGTTTACTCAGCACGACATAGCAGGCGAACTAAACAATCTAGAGCGATGGAGAGGAGAAGGATGCCGGGAGAAGGGGAAGGGAATTTGAAGGTCGCAGGGTTACCACAATCGCGATAATATACTCAGTCTCATTACTTTATTGTCACACCTCGTATGTATCTATCTCAATAATTCAAATGTGACTCTTGTGTAGTTTACTATTGGATCAACTCCCGACTCGCTAAAAGCTTATTGTTAACCGATGATTGCTCGCGTTTAACGATCACAATTATTAAAAAAAAAATCCATTATTTTAACTATTAACTTAAAGGCTTTACTTACCATTACGCACGCATTAGACCGAGGTCCGGGTGCATTATAACTTATCAACCAAGCTCTCAGAGATACTGGTGAGTCACTATCGAAGTGTGTGGTTTGGCATTGTTCTGATAGATTCTGGGCGATTGATTCATTCACACGGTCTGATTGCTGACAGTACCGCTCCGCATTAAGAGTTTGGCCGTAGGGGAGCAGCTCATAATGGCTGATTCTTGACTCAATGTAATTATATCTATTATTATTTACTAATTATTACTTTTAATATAAATTTATATATTCATGAATTGGAAACTAAAATATATATATATGTGGATGTTCGGATGTTAACATACATATACATATGTATACTCCATAAGCCCCACATGAGATACTCCTGTAGTAAAGTATTCCCATGATTACTCGGATGTTATACAGAGGCGGCATTGCAATATTAATTAGAACATCTTTTGGGTATGTTTTGTGGTTGATTTTGGATTAGTCTATTGTGTGCGGAGTATATATGTATCACGCGAGCATCGTGCTAAAAAGTTGATATATTTAAAGGCTTATGTTTTTTTTATTGAGAATCTGGTTTATTTGGCAAAGAAGCAGGTAATGGCAGCCATTTCTTGGTGTTGATGGAATTTTATACATTCACTAAGAATAGTAGTAGGTTAATATGATTTTTATTATATACGTATGCACATAAGTATTTAACCTAAATAGGTACCTATCAGTCAATTGTCTGCTACTCTGCCAAGTTTAATGAGGAAAGAAATAATATAACTTTTTTTCATATATCTCTTCCTTCAATATTAACTTAAACTGCATATTTTCATCACCTGATAAATTCTCTCTTCTTCTATATACACAAAACTCAGTATAAAAACCACAAACAATTGAAAGTAGCCACTCAATAGAAATTCAAAACAATAACAATAAGAAAGTTCACACTATATTAAAATTCTGAAGGTAAATAATAAACACACTCATGCACTTTGTCAGTAGCCAATCAGCGGTCAGCATCGGCACTACCACTACGAACAACACAGCGGTGTATCTACCACAGCCACACGAAACAAGACGACAGAGACGCTGCGCGGCGCATGAGCTCGGCAAGCTGTGAACGAATCAGCAATTGAGTTGGAAAAATGCTCAATGTGGGACTGCTGTGCCAGGAGAGGGTAGGCTACTGCATATTTGTTTGCTTGTAAGTGCATATGAGTGTTGGTTATTGCATAAAAATAGAACAGTGTTTACCATAGAGACGCCACCAACAATTGCTGGTACCGTGCAGTACAACAGCAACAGCTACTCAGCATTACTTAAGGGTCACTCGACGAAAAAATACTCGAGTGCCTTATAAACGAGGAGAGGTGGCTGAGTGGTGGTGTTGGTGTATAGATGGTGTTGACTATGGGCGTCCCACTGAGTGCACTACCAAGTGTGATCGATGGAAGTGTTTAAAAACTAACGGTACGTGGTGAGTTTATTCAATGTTTTCGCTTACGTGGAAGTTAATGGACGTGCCAAAGGTCGGGAAGTCGGTGCAGAAGTGACTATCGAACAAACATCAAATATTCAAAAGTGTTTAAAAAGTTACTTACATTAAGGGTTGTTCCCCAAATAACAAAAAAAAGATATAATAAAATTTATACAGTTTAAATAAACATTTAAGCAATGCTAACAAACATGGATACCAGTGTCTGCGGAGGTGGTGGTGGCGTTGGCGCCTTAGTAAGTCTTAGCAAATCGGCGCTGACAACACCTTTTTCAATAAATGATATTTTAACGCGCAATAATAACAATCTAAATGCGACACAACAACAAGAACAACTAAGACGGCGCCTCTCCGACTCGGAAATGGCGTTTAATGCGGAAACGGCCGTCGCAGAATTGCGTCACAGTCAAACGCGCGAACTTAAAGACACTTTAAAAGTGTCCACATCTTGCTGCCATATCGCGGCGGGTGATTCCAATACCTTAAAATTAAGTGCTTGCTTAGAGAACGCCTCATCACGCAATTCATCAAACAATCCAAGTCCGATTTGTGAAATACGCGCAGCAGTTGCGAAACCTTTTGCGGGTACTCCGCTGTCGGAACGCAGAAGTGGCGGAACGAGTGGAGCGGCACACGTTAATAGCAGTGAAAATACCGATTTCATGCCATACTATATGACCAACTTAGATAATAACAACCATAGTCAATATCAGCTGGCGCGAAAATTCGGTTATATCGGCGGTGGTGGCTTGGCTGGTGGTCGGGATTGTCCCATTGACATGCGACGTTGCAGCAATAATGAGTCAGGTAAGTTGACGAAAAGTTTTAAAAGCTTTTTAATAGTGGAAATGCATTAGCGATACACACATTTGGTATTTGTTACACCAATTTCCTTGTGTGTAAAAGAACATAACAAATTTTGTCGAAACTGGCACAAACTAATTTTCACTTGTTTAACAAGTTAGTACCAAAATTTATTCATACAATATAATACATACCGCTTCTTCTCGCTTACCTTTCACTCTATTCAGATTCTGAATCTTCACCTCCCCCAATGATGTCACTTTATGGTAGCGCCTCCGCGAACGCCGTCAGCAATGGTTGTGGCAGCGGAGGCAACACTTCACCATCGCTCCACGACACGGATACCCTCAACGGTTCGATGAACCGTAAGAAACGTTCACGTGCCGCCTTCAGTCACGCGCAGGTTTTCGAGCTGGAGCGGCGCTTTGCTCAGCAGCGTTATTTAAGCGGTCCTGAGCGCGCTGAAATGGCTAAAAATTTGCGACTGACAGAAACGCAAGTGAAGATCTGGTTTCAGAATCGTCGCTACAAGACAAAACGCAAGCAAATACAACAACATGAGGCAGCCTTAATGAGCGCCGCCACTAAACGTGTGCCCGTACAGGTGTTGGTGCGCGAAGACGGAAGTGGGGCGGCGGCGGCAGCAGCAGCGGCTGCATATGCACACATGTTGCCGGCGCATGGCATTGATCCGGCGCTGCTGCATATCTATCGGCATCAGGTAGGTGGAAGTTTTAATATCGCACTAATGCTCAGCACCAAATTATAATTTATTTTTGTCCTAAAACTTTGCTTTTTAAAATTATGACTTACATGTTTTTATTAATTTTCCTTTTTTCTTATTCTTCTCTTTCTCAGTTACAAATGGCTTATGGCGTTGGTGTATCGCTACCTCAGGTACCCTTCCCTTACTTCTATCCACAGGCGACGAAAATACCCCAACCCATCCCTCCGCCAACCAGCCAAGCCGGTAATTTTGCCGCTCAAGCAACTACAAATCATACCAACAACAATAATAATAATAACAGTTATGATATTACGAAAAATGCATTGAACTTTGCTAAAATGGAACACGGTATGCGTTACATACATTGCTCATCGGCCTCATCGTCACCCACCCACGGCAATGGCGCCCACGGCAGCGGCGACAGTAGTAGTCCAACGCGATCGTGTTCCAGCCCACCGCCAATCGTTGATGCCACTACCAGTGTGTTGACATCAGCCATGTCTGTAGACACTGAAAGTTACGCGGAGACGCGCTCGGCAACAACCGAAGATTGTGACGAGAATGTTGAAATAGATTAAGTTCTTAGAAAATATTTAGTAAACAAAGTTGATGACGACGGTGATGCTGACGGTGATGCTGACGTCGATATGTGACTAATGTTAATGCATAATTAGTTTTACGAAAGTGTAACGCAAAATAGGCAAATTATTTGTTTAAGGAAAGAAATTACCAAAATTTGTGATAGTGAAAGTTTTAATTGGTGTAGCTCCAATCAAGCATACGAGTATGTGTTTGTGTGCATATGTATGTGCATATGCATGCAGTTTAATGTTTTATAGTTTAAAATGCCTGCTTTAGTAGTAGTAATAATTATATGTGAGAAAGAATACTGAAAAAATATAAAAAAACATAAATATAGAAAATATTTTTTAATTAAAGTTTACTGTGGAGGTCAGATGATAGCGTTGTTGTCGCAGAGGCCTATGATATCAATATTTTCTTCCATGTGAACTAAACCAATACCAAGTTAGAAAATTCTAAATTTCATCGAAGTTTGAAAAAACTTCACTTCAAGTAGCAAAGAAAAAGTTTAAATAATAAAACTGTTGTCCAACTTTTTTTACTTCAGATAGAATATAATTTAATTATGAAGCTTTACTTTTTTCGATCGGGAATATTTTAATTTTGCTTCAAAGCTCTGTCCGAGCATTCGAACCTGCTCGAAGGTCGGCCAATAAAACTGCTCTAGCTAGTAAAATATGTCAAAATGGCCACTGAAATTTTGAAGACATATACTTGGATAGTTTTAGAATAGATTTAAGAAAAAGCAAATTTTTTGAAGCCTCGAAAGCAGATTAGTGCCTTAAGAAGCCAGATCGATCAAGACTACACAGCCGATTTGTCGCTTGGCAGATTACAGATCCTCACCTTCTCTTCTTCATTCATATTATAATTTAAGGTGACCCTCCCCTGATTTTGGATCCAAAAATCGATTTTTATTACGCAAAAAGTGAAAGCCATTATTTGTAGAGTATTTTCCTCGAAACCATGTTTTCCGATCTAACTTCAAGCAACGGACTTGATCTATCCGTCCGATTTCTTTTATCTAAAAACTGTTCCAAAGTACAATATATAGTTTTTTGATGATTTTGTAGGCGTCATTTTGAATTTTTATTTTTCCGTTTTAAAATCTCAAATAATATACAAATTTAATTGTCAAAACCGGATGCTCGTACGCCTTTTCATTATCCCACAAAAAAGTGCAAACTTTGCAAGAGTTTTGCTCAATATCAGGGAGGGCCTCCCAAATCTTATTATACCCAATTATTTGTTCTAATTTAGAGAGTACTCCCTAAGAGCAGAGTTACAGAAATTTTTGCTCTCATCAATTCAAAGATTCGCTTATTTCTTAAGACAATTTACGGATCGAAAAACTCGTTGAAAAACCGGAAATAAATTTCCAAAATAAATTTCAGCAAGCTAGTAAAAATCATTTTAAACAAAATTTTTTTTCCAAAAAATAGCAAAAGTGAAAAAATCTATTAACAGCTTTTAATGGGAATTACTGTCACTATGCATAAGAACCAATAACAACGGATGTACATCTAAAATTATAGAAACAAAATTGAGTATATTTTCTATTTGAAGAAGGGTCAAGGATTTTAATGAGTTAAAGGTAGAAAAAGTCATAACAAAATGAGTATTTTCAATTTTAATTTTGGTTTTGGCAGTAAATAATTCAAGGGGCTCGACCAGTGTGACACTTTGAAAAAAAAAAATTATTCTTTTTTTGATGTTCTTCGATAGATTATACCTTCGAAAAGAATATACTTCGACCCCCGATGCGACCCTAGAATGTGTCGAAGCAATACTAAAACTCAAAACCATCCAAAGGATTATTTCATGCATAAAGTTGCCCTTTTATATTTCCATCGGCTTAAAATTGTAAGTTTTGCATAGAAAGTACTGTCAGATTTTTAAGCTAAATTTTAACTCATTTTCAAGACGACGTCATTTTTTTGTAATAAATTTTTTGTACCTCAATTGTGGGTCAGATAATAGTTTATACAGTCCTCTTTAACTTCAAGAAAATTCTGCTCAGGTACATCAATTTAAGTCTCGAGTTGCACACCCAGCTTAATCCTGATCTGATGGTCCATATCCCTTTAAGCCCGAACCGAAATACATCAGGTCATTTATCTGACGCAGACTAAAAGTACAATACAAAAAAATTGAAAGCGGATATTTTTGATGGCCCACAGATTAAGCAAATCGTGAAAGATCCTTATTTGTCAAATCAATGCCTTAGGCAAATTGGTTTTAACAGCTGACACACGTTTCGAGTTTTGTATCACCGTCAAACATCTTCAGTTTGGTCTATAATTTAGCCATGAATCGTCTTACAAACGAACAACGGTTGGAAATTATTGAATTTTATTATCAAGATCCGTGCTCTGTTAAGAAAGTTAAAAAAAAAATTGTGTTCAGCGACGAAGCTCGTTTTTGGCTTAATAAATAAGTCTCTAATTAAATAAGCAGAATTGTCGATTTCGAAGTGAAGATCAGCCAGAACCATTGCAAGAGATACCAATGCATCCAGAAAAAGTCACAGAGTTTTGCGGTTAATGGGCTGGTGGCACCATTGGACCGTACTTCTCCCAAGATGATGCAAATCGTAACGTAACTGTGAATGGTGAGCGCTACGCATTGAAGTTCAAAATTGAAGCATTTATTCGTGAGATACTGGCTGAAATTTTGGAAAGAGTATGTCAAAATCGGATTAAACGGATGGATGTTGACAAATGGACATTTGGATGAAATAATCTTTAAACATTAAATTATATAGACCGTACTATCGATTCATCATTTTTCCGAATTCGATGTGTTTTTTTTTTAACTTTCCTAGAGCTCTTAAAAAATCACCCTTTAGTATTGACTATCGCACATACAAAAGCTAGAGTGCAATATGAACGTAAAAATCGACTTTCTGTACTTGCACTTGGAGAAAGATGTCACAAAGATTTTTGGACATTACGAGACACATCCGTAGGTATGTCAATAGAGGCACTACACAGAGGGGAGTTCTCGGCATCCGACCCATACGATCTGCGATGGCACTAAACTAAATGCAACTCAACCATAGAAGAACCGCATAGTATATTAAACTCTATACCATTCTCAGAAAAGCTGGGCTACGTCACTCACGTTTTCTACTTTGGTAACACTTTCTCAACAAAAATTTCAGTAAGAATCGAATGGAAAAATGTAACAGTTTACCGTCGGCCCTAAACTCGACGGGAAAGTAGGTTATGGAGTTTACTCTGAGCCTGACAAAGATATTACTTGACCACAGAGAAATCTTAAATAAAATCTCGACAACATGTGAAACGTCCTTGGTTTGGGGCCCTGTCATAGGGAAACCCCAGGGAACTAAGTGGCCCATGAGCTGTACAGAAAGAGGACAGTCATATCCACGAGCGAGTTTACGTACATGACAAAAGAAGACAGAAAAAGAAGAAGAGAGAGGTGGTAGAGTGAAGCCACGTGCAATGGAGGCAGACAAATCTGATCATATGAAGTGAATAGAACTAAGTCTTCACTCCTCTTAAATAGGACATCCATAACATCCATAACATAGATAAGGAGGAATTGGTGAAGCGTTACTTCTGCCACTGTCTCTAAGTGTGGTCAGTTATCATCTTTTCATAAATTTCTTCTTCGATTGCCTTGAAGAGCTTGTATCAGTGGACACCATTAACCTCCTGAACTTCCTAATGCACAGGGAGTGGTTTTGATAATCAGGAATCTTTTTACAGGCCCCACATAGGTATCACAAGGGGTCAGTAGCCCTTAGTGCACTTGATTAGAATTCCGTTGGCTATCAACCTCTTTAACTAACCAAATATCAAGAGAGGTGGGAATTACTTGTGAGTCAGTCATACTCGCATGTGGTTGAAAATCGATAGCTTCGTATGGAATGAATTTGAATTAATCTTAAAGGCTGCTGTATCTTTATCATATGTTCAATTAAGGTCGGCGCAAAACTTAAGTATTTCCAGTTACAAGCTAGAATTTCAGAACGCACCAAAGAAAATCGGTGAACCGTTGTTATGTTCAACGTAGTAATTTTTCGTAATTATGAACCTTAGGCAAATTATATTCTTGTACGATGGAACGCTTTTCCTATGCAATCAATTTGCTAATCAAAATTCGGAAAAGAGTCTAGATCGAAACATTCTGGAAGGAAAAGAGAAAAAACAAGAAAACAATTGTTAAACTCTTACAATTACAATTTTCTTCCAAGAGCATAAAGTTTAAAACTTGAAAATCGTTTCATAGTTGGCCGCCCATATGCGCCACTCAGAATATGATTGATTGTTCAGTTTACCCTGATACATATGTACATTTCTACGGTAATCTACTTCGATTCCATCATCAATTCCTTTATTTATATTAAGTGCTTTGCTCTAATTCAACTACAAGTACGCCAAATACAAATATCTCCTCATACATACCTAAATATTATACATGCGAACAGAAGCTGCACAATTGTAGATAAGAACATCCTTGCATTGATCGAACCGCTCGCAATTTGCAACTGGTGCAAAAGTATGCAATGCATAAATATGTATATATAAGTGTGTCTGTATAATTTTATAGGTAGTTCTATGAACATATGTGGCAATTTAAAGTAACTTATGGCCGTATTAGCGCAATTATGGCAAGCTTTTCTGCCTTTCAAATGGATACATTTGCAAATATCCCTAAATTATTAGCGGAAAGCCCAAACACAAGTACTAAAAAGCATGAGCGTATAATAAATGATTAGATCTCATTGCAGATGTATCGATTAAGAATGAAATTTAATTTATAACAACACCAGAGCCATGATGTTTATGGATTTAAAAGGCAAATACGAAATGTAAAAGCTACAAATTTTCCTCAAGTACTTGAATTAAAGAACAACGTAAGTCTCTAGCAATTGTTTTTTTTTTTGTAATTACTTGTTTTTATTGTAAAGTTTGTTTGTATACTATATAGTTTATGGTGTTTTTCTATGTAAAACACATCTTCATACGCATATACATACGTGTATACACATAAATAATGTGTGGCTTTAAATCGCATTCATTTGCACACCCACCATTTCCGTTTCTTATTAAATGGAACAATTCACGTTGTGTTTACAGTTAGCACCTACAAAAACATTATAAAGACACTAAATAAATATTGCCGTTTGTGTTTAGAAGTGCTGAAAACAATATTTGAAAACAATATTAAAAACTAATTTTTCGTCTTGAAGCAATTAAGTTTTTTCGTTCATACCTACATATGTGTGTATGTATGTAAATGTGCCCAAAACTTAATTAATTATTATGTTA